CTGCTGTCATTCAAATTCATGTCCTATTTTACCATTGTTTCTACATGCATACATTACATATATTTGTAAATATAATCAACTAAGTATGTATAATGTTACCTGTATGTGTGTTTTTAGGGGTGACCATTTGGTATTGGAAAAATCAGAATGTCACAATAACCCTAATGATTCACTTCTGGTGCAAATGTCGTGGTGGTAACCAACAGATCTCTCATTGGGATTAAGAACTGTTCAACAAGAGGGAACCAATGCCTGGTATTGGGAATCTAGCAAACTTCCCAAGTATAGTAAAGTCATGGATCTTGGAGAACTTATAACCACCAATTTATTAAACCACCATCATCTCTAACTACATTCTAAACATTTGTCCTTATACCCTCAAATGATGATAGACCTTATCCCTCACCAAGGAAACTTCTGAATTCAACAGACAGAGGCCATTACAGAAAATCACAACTAATCAAAATGCAGAGTTATGGGGTTCAGGCATATTGAACTGTCACGTGGTGGCGTTAAGTTCTAGGTAAAAATCAAAGTCCTACAACTTAGTCACAATCTAGTCTCTTTGAAATTCTTTTCTTCTCTTACAAAGAGGAGAAAGTAACCTATTATTCTTAGACGTTGCATGATGGAATACATGTCACAATCATTAAGTATCATTTGTCCAAGTGTTACCTCCTTCAGTGTGCCTTCTCTACTCTGTTACATTGAGTGAAGCAAGGTTCCTATGCTCTTTCTTTGTGTGGCCGTTTTGTTATAGAAGTTAACAAATTTGTTTCCTTTCTTTTTTCTCCCTAGCTCCATCCTATAAACTGAGAGCCTATAATTAGATTTTCCATCTGTATACTTTCAAAATATCATGGACTGACTGGTAAAAGAAGAGTGCTCTCACTTTTCTGAATAATTGACAATACCACCAATAAAATATCACTTGAATACTCTTAATTTTTTCCTGAAGATTAATCCAACTGTTTAAGAATCATCTTATTTACAAAATATATTAGCCTTTCTTTGTTTATTTATTTATTTAAATTAGAAACAAGCTTGTTTCACAAGTCAATCCCAGCTCCCACTCCCTCCCCTCCTCCTCCTCACTCCTCCAATCCTCCCAATACCCAATTTGTTCCCCAGGGAGGGTGAGGTTCTCCGTGGGGGAATCTCCAGACTTTGTCCTTTCATCTGGGGCAGGGTCTAGGCCCTCCACCATGTGTTCAGGATGAGAGAGCACCCCTCTATGTGGAATGGGCTCCCAAAGTCCATTCAGATGCCAGGGACAAATACTGATCTACTACCTGAAGCCCCATAGATTGCCAAGACCTCATCACTGACACCCAAAATTAGAGGATCCGGATAAGTCCCGTGCTGACCTCTCAGCCATCAGTTTGGTGTCCATGAGCTCCGCCTTGTTCAGGTCAGCTGTTGCTGTGGGTTTCACCAGCCTGGGCTTGACCCATTTGCTTATCACTCCTCCCTGTCTGCAACTGGGTTTCAGGAGTTCAGTTTAGTGTTTAGCTATGGGTGTCTGCCTCTGCTTCCATCAGCCTTTGGATAAAGGCTCTAGAATGGCATATAAGGAAGTCTTCAATCTCTTTATTGGGGAAGGGCTTTTAAGGAAGCCTTTCCACTATTGCTTAGATTGTTAGTTGGTGTCATACACCCCTTCTCCTCGCCCCTTCCCCCATGCTCCCAATCTGCTCAGGAGATCCTGTCCCATTCCCTTTCTCTGGGGTACCAAACAAAAAAATCAGAGAAAGTCTAAATAAATTTTTATCTCAGAGGACATGAATTATAGCATAATGGAATAATTCAGAGGTGTAAGCATGTGATATTAAATTTGAGTAGCAGCACACACATGATTTAATAGATTAAATTTCTTGAATGCATGGAAACTTAGAATGAGCGTGTGAGAGGGGGGCATATTATGAATTTTTAAACTACAAATAACTGTATAAATTCTGTTTAAGAATTATTTAAACCCTATTAAGGCAAAAAGGCAAGCCACTCTCTGTATTATGTTTCAACCCAAGTGAGAGATCTACCATTATCTGTCTTGATCCATGCAACAAAAACCTACCTTCAGGTCATATGTGACACTCAGATGTTTGCTCCCCACCCAAATCCAGCAGGACATATATCAAGGAAGAAGTCTGTAACCCAACAGAATGCTTTTGCCCTCCAGATAGAAGAAATTCACACAGTTATTTGTGTATTGTGGTTTATTTTCCTCTTAGAAATCCTTTTAGGCTTGTATCACCAAACTTTTCTCCAGTTCAAGTCACTATCAACTTCCTATTAACAGGATCCATCTAATTCAACTGGAAACACATGGTGGCTACTAACCATTCAAAAGCCCTATGATCAGTAGACTCCAACTGCGTACAGTGCAGCTCAGTGATAAAGTAGAAATGGTTTTGAATGTCAACGGTTGTGTCCCAGAGTTAGAAAAATGAGCTGTATTGTGATCTGTTGTGTCAAGAACACATACACAGTCAGGACTATAATTGATAAAAAGTACTTATAAATAGCCTCTTCCTACCATATATATAAAGTTTCAGCTCACTTATTTTTTTGCATTAACAGTTTGAATTGTTATTTGACTATTATCAATATGTCCCATGTCCTATATCCCAAACCTCAGAGCAGAATATTCATGCTATTCAATAGAGTTCTTTAGGGGATATTTCTGATGTTGGAGTCAAAAATTTTATTTAACATACCAAAGTTTAAAAAAAATCCTCCAAACAGCAGCAAGCAAAGCATATTTACTGCTACCTCTGTGGTTTGCTACCTTTAATCCCTTCCTTTATTTTCGTAACTCCTCTCCTCAGGACCAGGCAGAAAACTGTTTGCCTTTTAAAAGCACAGTGGCAATCCATTTGGTCAGATTCACTGGTCTGTAGACCTTTCTTGCTGAAAGGAAATGCTTTTAAATTTTATTTGGTTTGTCCTTTTAACCTTTCCTAAATCACAAAGAATGGACAGCTATGAGATGTGTAAATCTGGGGAGAGTCTGTCAGTTGGTGTGACTTTCACTTAAATCATTGCTGTTCTTTTTATCAGAGGCACACAGTCTATTCCACTCATCTTCCTGTTCTTTCTCAGTCACTGTACTCATGTGATCAGCAGAATCCAGTTCCTCTCTGGCCGCAGGGAATGCACTGTTTGAATGTACCACCAGTCTCCCTGCTGCTGCTCTCATGCAGATGGCAGTGGGTTGAGCTTATCTTGCAATCTATCATCGTTACTAACATACTGATGTGTAGGCAGATGAAGGGTATGATGGAGTTTTATATAAATATGGAAGAATATGACTCATATCTTTAAGAACATTAAAGTGAAATTGTATCAGAGGCAATCACCATATGCCATGCTTAATGGTCAGATGCCCTGACCATTTGTGGATGTGACTAGACCATCTTGCTATAGAAATAGTATTATTAAATGATTCAGTCAACTTCTGCAAGTTATGAAAGAATAAATGAAGTGCCTTTTCCAAAAGTGTTCCCACTTTCCTGCTACCAAATTCAACTAATAGAAATAGCTCTTTGAGTAAGTGCAACTTGCTTACTGTGGAAAACACTTTCCTTGGCAGCCGTGCTGAAATGCCCAGTATGAATTATAGGAGGCTACTGAAAGAGAATCAAAAACATCTTATTTTCTCCTTCAAATCAATAGAGAAATTGCTCCTTACTCTAGGCATTTCCAACTCTGGAAAGACAAATGTGGCAGTGCATTTTCTTTCAGAGTAGTTGAGACATTTTCCACTGGCAAAATGTTTCAATCCTCTTTCCTTTCAGTCAAATGACCCTTTTGCATCTCAAAGGCAGTATTTTCACAAATAAGCAATGAATTGCCATGATCCTTAGTGTTGTAAAAGCTAATATTGGTAAAAGAGAAAGCATTGCATTCTGTACAGTAACATTTTTACTTTTTTACTTGAATGTTTAAAAAAATCTTTATTTAGAGCTATGCATTCAGAAGAAACTCAAAACTGAAACTGTATATTCTGCTTTTTAGGTTTTACACATTCATGCTATTCCTCATACTTTCTGAAAAGTTTTCTCCTCAGGAGGCTTTTCTCCTGGAATTCGAAGTGTTCTTTTTACTTTCACATCTTGAAGCAGCTGCACTCTAAAAGCCTCATGGTTGGAGATTTTCCTCTCAACAATCTGCTATCATAATCAAAATTTTCCCCATATACTTGTTTTCACAATTCACTATCAAGTTTATTGAGAATGTTTTTAAATTGTTTTTACTCAATAAAAGTACATTTATGTATGTTTGTGTATGCAAAAATTAGGCAAAAATGGAACTCCACTGAACTATTCATATTAAAATGCAATTAAATAGGAGCATTAGGAACACAGATTCATGGAACCTGCTCTATCAGAGACTCACAGACATTGGAAGAAACAACTTTTAATACCTTAAGTTTTACTTTAATTTTTTGAATCTTATAAATTATTAAAGTGTAGGAATGACACATGCTAATTTTACTGGTGAATTCTACAGAGACAAAAAGAGTGTTTATGAAAAATCATTTGTTCATATGTCTATTAAGTAAACTGGAGGTAGAGGTAAATGTACATTATTAGTGTCACATTATTGGTTACTTCCAATCGGCTTCCTTCAATATACTTCCGAGCATCATTAACTGAAAAATGATAGCATCAGTAGAAATATGATATGAATAATAATAGATTTGCTAATCTTGTACTACACTATTCTATGCATACATGAGGAAAAATGATTGGATTGCTAATCGTCTGCAAATTTTATGCAAATAAAAAGTAGAGAATTTACATATTTTAATAATCTGGGATAAAATGTTTTTGCAGTCTTGTGTTTGAAAACAATTATAGTCTCTATCTTTTGATTTGCCTATTTCGATAATATGTAGAAATAAAAATTAAGCTAAGTATGTGGTCAAGGTTAGTGTTCATCTATAGGTGTATGTATTCTTAGATGCGTTTTTAATTACAACCACTTCAAAAGTAACACAGATTTTCAAAAGTTTATTTTAGATTTGACGACTAGACAGGGTCATACTGATTTTACAACATCCTACATGATTTAAGTATATCTACAAAGAAAAAAACAACATTGGAATATTACACAGCTTGAAAGTTTGCAAAAGTATGTGTATCTTAGTTATTTCTTTCCTTGCAGACACACCAGATGCCAGCATTCAATGTTATGTTTCAAAATTCGTTTACTAGCAAAGATACAGTCATTAATACCTGGTCTTCAAAATTCATACCTATCTTTATGAAGACATTCACAAAGAGAAAGTCATCCCTAAAGTAGAAATTAGTGTCTGTCATAGATGATTACAATGGAATATACATGAAATGGATATGTAAAAAAATTAATTGATCCATAATTTCCTGAATCATAAAATTAGCTCATGATAATTATATAGCATAGTGAAGACAGGCAATCCTTCTGTGTTTGTAAGATTTTACTTGTAAATTAAGTAACACCATGTTTTAGCTTGAAAGCTACTTCCCAGTACTTGTCACCATTTTCTGTGTAAGCATCTCTTGCTAGAAAACACATATCCATTAGGCATGCTATGTTGTGAACAGCACATTGAGCAGAGAGAAAGTGCACAAGCAAGAGAAAACCTTCCACTGACTTTTTAAACTGTAACAAATACCACAAGTAACAACTTCTTTGGAAAACAAATTTTAAGTAGGTGTCAATAGAACAAAATTCAAAGTATCACATGGAGTCAAGAAAAGGCATTTCAACACACATATTATTTGGAATTTCTAGAATTTAGTATTGAAGAATCTGCAAAGAAAACACTTACAAATTTGGTAGTACCCTTATCCCTGAAAAAAACAAGGACCATGAGCTAGTCAGTAAGTGTTGCACTTTTAGAACCTAAGTAATTCTATGTAATGCTATTTTAGTTTAAAATACTATTTTAAACATTCTTTTTGATAACTTTAAACATTATCTAGGACAATAGTATTGAAGACACAGCACTTTTGTTTTGGGAAAATGTTCAGAATTATTCAACATTTTACATACTGAAAAATCAACAGGTTTTTAACTAACCTGAAGCAGTGAGAATGTGGTCATGGAGCGAACATGGGGCTCAACAGTCACCATAGTGCAATGAATTTGCTGTCATTTAATATGGCAATTGGACTGACTTTCTCTTTCAATTCTTCACTATGATTGATGACCACTCCACAATTACATCATTTAAAAATACTGTGAACACATGGATAGACAGGACATAATAATAGTGGCTTTCCTTATGCAGCACACACATTAAAGGAAAAAATAAAGTAAAATATAGCAGTGTTTTCAGGGCTCTAGTATTTCATATACATACCACATCTTCTGTTCCTGGACCTTCAATTTAAAACTCCAATATTTCTGTGTCTAGGCCTTATAAGATAAATACTTGTAAAGCTTATAAATTAGGTCTGGAGGACATTTATGGAGGCAGCATGAGCTTTAATTTGAGACATATGTCAATGATGCTGCCATTTTCAATAACAAATTATTATGATGATTGCTTATTTTTTCTAGGACATTTGATGCAAAAGAAATAGAAATCAATTTTCATCTTCAAAATGGTTTATGACTTTGTCATTTGAAAATACATTACTCTCACAAATAATTATGCAGTGTGCTTTCTTGAGAAACCACCCCTGATTTCAAACAGCATTGAAAATTTCATTTCACAGGAAATGTGGAAATCCACAGAGCAATGTTGAATACACTTGGCCAACCTGTGAAGCACTAGGCTGACACACATTTGCTAATATCTTAAATATACATAGACTGATTCTGTTATTTCAAAGAAATGAAGATTTAAATTCCAGGGCTGTGGTATTTTTTGTTGTTCTTTTTCACTAAATGATAAGGGATTCTCAAAGAAGGATATCTTTGGGAATGACATAGAACTTCCTTCAAAAATAAAAATTCAGGGTCAATTTACTCATATTAAACATAGAACAAAGAACAATTTACTGATATCCAGTCATGTTCAATGTATATTAATAGATATTCCATGGATGTGAATAAATACAATACTTTCAGGTAAATGAGGTGTGAAAATTCAATGAGAAAATATAATTGCCTATTTATGTCCTATGTAAATAATATGAACTTAAACATAAAGAATTTAGTTTTTGTTAGAAGTAAAGAAAATAAAATAGACTCATCATATTGATTGATACTGCATACCATATATTAGCCTCCAAATCTCTGTAATAAACACTAACAGTGTTAGGCACAGAGAAACAATTACGATAATCCAATTCATTACAGAAAAAAGCCTTATTGCTAAAATTGGACGTCTTATAATTGTTGGTTGAAGAGTAACCATAATATCTATCTTAACTCTTTCATCTTATGATGGTTTCTTCACTTTTGCTGTAAAATGGAGACTTGCTTTGTTTACTATACTTTGACCAATGTATATAGTTCAGAAAACAAGGCAATAGCTAACAGATAGTGTGATGTTATTTAAGAGAGTTGTGAAACAAAAACAAAGTTAAGTTATTGAAAAGGCAGGCTTAGAACTCCTAAAAAGATAGTAGCCTACTACAAATTTGAACACTTTTTCATGAGAAAAAGAAAATCCATTCCATTTCCATCAGATTTTGCACAGTTTGTTGCATGGAGATACTTGCAGGGAAATAAAGAAAAGCACTGTGAGATGTGGAGGCCCTTCATTCCTCCTCTGTGCAACCCAGAAGCTCTGACCGCAGAGTGATCCTTCCATACCAGGACCAAGGAAGGATTCTAATGTGTCGTGCATAAATGGGAGGGTCGATGACATTCTTCCTGTGAGTGTCGTTGTCAAAATTGCCTTGAAAAACCTAATAAGGAAGAGCAAAGAACATGATTATATAGTCCTTTCCCTTTGTGATTGTGTTCACTTTCCTATTTGTACACATTGCAGACTTAAAATGGTAACTTAACATATTTATTTATTTATTCATTTATATTTTTATTATTATTTTAATTTTAAATAGCTTGTTTTACATGTCAATCCCAGTTCCCTCTCCCTCCCCTCCTCCTGTAGCCTCCCCACCATCCCCCCCCAGCCTCCCACCCTATCACCATTTCCTTCCACATAGGGGATATCTAGAGTCTGTCATTTCACTCAGGGCAGGGTCCAGGCACTTCCCTAAGAGTCCAGGCTGAGAGAGCATCACTCTTTGTGTTATGGACATACGATGTTTGTATGCCAGGGATAAACACTGAGCCAGTGCCCAGGGCCCCATAGGTTGCCCAGGCCTCCGCACTGACTCTCACATTCAGGGGCTCTGGATCTGTCCCATGCTGGCCTCCCAGCTTTTTTGAGACAGGGTTTCTCTGTGTAGTTCTGGCTGTCCTGGAACTCACTCTATAGACCAGACTGGTCTGAAACTCACAGAGATCTGACTGCCTCTGCCTCCCAAGTACTGGAGTTAAAGGCATGTGTCACCACTGCCTGAAACATTAATCTTTTCAAGAGTGGTAATTCCTAATTAGTTATTATGTGTGATGCATAAGTATGGGTACATACAAATGCACGAGTGTTTCTAGATGCATGTGCGTGCGTGCTTGCATGTGTGCGTGCACACGTGCACGCGCGTGTGTGTGTATCTTCCTGTAAAACATTAGGCAATATGGTGATGATTCATAGAAACAGCAGAAGCTGGAGAGATGGATCAGTAGCTAAGAACACTGAGTGCTCTTCAGGATCTAGGTTTGAGTACCAGCACCTACATGATGGCTAACAACCATCTGTAACTCCAGGTCCGAAGATCTAATGTCTTCTTCTTCAGGGCTCCACAGGCATCAGATATATAGGTGGTGCACAGATATAAATGCACGTAAAACCCATACACATAAAATAAATAATAATAATAATAGATAATGCTGCAACCTACACAGCCTGAGTCCCCAAACTATGTTAGGGTTAGAGGGAATGAAGTTAACATAAATATACATATAGTGAAGCTGGTATTGAATAAGGTTCTCTGCCAGGTACCAATCTAGCACTTCAACCACCTTAGCATAGTTTTTATGTACAGAACAGGGGGATGTGTTAGCCTCTGTAACAGGTCTCTGTAGGTGAGCCATCAGGCTCTAAAGATTGCATGGCAGGAAGTCGTGGTCTTTGCATGCACTGACAAATCTTCCATGAACAGTAATAATATCACACTGATACATCCAAGGAGAGATTTGTAGCCTCTCTTGAACCTGTGTCATTTTAGCTTAGCCAACTGTCCCATTGCTTTAAGTCTCAGGAGTTCTTGTCATGGTCATGCCCATATTAAAATATGCCTCACATGCTCAGGGTTTCCTATGCACCCTCTCAAATACTAAATTTCAAAGAGAAACCATGGAGACTATTTGATTGTCTTTTTGCTGGTTCTACTGGGAGATCATTTGCCCTGGGTGGCAAATATAAAGAGCTGTCCCCATCTGGTAATGTAATAACTGTGTAATTTGACAGAAAATATATATTTGTAGATTATATTGGAGTAAATACTTGCTGAATAAAATAATAAAGAACAATGCTATATCTAAACTCTACCACCCTTGTATATCTAATTTGTATTCACTTAATAGATTTAAAAAAAAATTTTCAGTAAGGATTTTGTCTGCACTGATCAGGGAGGATCTCTTTAAGGATTCAGATAAGCTATTGAGTAGCAGCCATCTTTATCAGCAAAATCTCACTTGTTCAGAATATAGCATGTAAACAAAAATCTTGTGGTAAATTGCCACTTCAAACAAGTGTAGGAAAGAGTGTATACTTTCACTGGCTGACATTCCCTAACACAAGCAACTGGATTCTGTGAAAATTTTACAATTAAATGCAGGATACAACATGCAACCTATTGGTCTGCTAAAGAACATAATGTCTTTGTTTAAAATGATTGAGTTTAAATTCGTTAATGCACATTGCAAAATCTATAATAGTTTAAAATAGTGTTATGTTACTTCATGGAAAGGAAATACAGAAAAGGACAATTTCCTTTTTAAGTTTCTACTCCTTAATACAGGCTTCCACAAGGAGTTCTAAAGCTCCAAAATTATACATTATTAACTATATTTAGTTATTTACAAGATGGAATATAACAATTTTGAAACTGATTGAAGCTATGAAATTTCTGATGCAATGTGTAAAAATCACAGATATTTGGATATTCATTTTAACAGTAGGTGGAGTTTGATAATGCAGGATAATTTATAAAATTTATGACTACAGAAAATTGTCCAGGTTTATATTACAATCACCCAAACCTTCGGTAGTCAGTACTGAAAATGCAGGTTATTTTTAAAGGGAGCACATAGCATGCAAAGCAGGAACTTGCTCATTGTCACGGGACATCTTGTTCTTGCTATGCAAACATGTAGCATATGTCCTGTTTCTAGGTCTCTAGTACGGCAGACTTGCTAAGAATGTAATTTCATATAAAACATTAGTTTTACCTAGGAAAGCAATGCAAGCACAATATCTCTGGTTGAGTTAATAAAATTTGTAATATTTCCAGAAATGTGTTTTCAACACCCACTTTAATCAGGATCTGAAAATGTTGGTGGGAAATACTGACTCTCCATAAACAAGGGAAGATCTCGTAGATGATAGAGATGCAGTGTGATTTGCAAACTTTTGGAAAAAGTATGCACAAGTTTGAGTTCAGGCAGGAGACTAATTGGCTTATGACAAGTTTGTGGTTATCTTCACTCATAATAATGCTTAGAGGATCTCTTAAGCATTTGCTAATATATGGGACCTCAAGTAAAAGTTACTCAGAGGCACCTTGAAAAGGCGTCCATAATTGTAGCCTAAGAGAAACAAGGGGGAGAAAAAGGACAATGCTGTAAGCATGGATGTGTTTCAGAATTTTGATTTTTACAGTAAACTCTTCTGTGGTGCTACTTAAAATTCAAATTAGATTCTGGTGGGGAATCATTCCTTAGCACAGGCAATAATGTCATATAAAATGTGACAATAATATGCTTCCCCAAGCAATAGTTTTTATGTTTTTAAGATGAGATTGTCATTGGTTTCTACAGACCAATATCTATTAAATCACTGTATATATCAATTGGAAGAAGCCATCAAGCATTGTGGAGGAAATTGAGAATATCATTCATGATACAGTCAGATAATCTGGGTTTGCCTCAGTATTGTTTGTTGTTGTTTTGAGACTGGATCATTTTATGTAACCCTGACAGGCCCTCCAAATAGCAGTGCTACGGGAACTCCCATGTTCTAGTATTACCAGTCTTACTGGTAATTACTACCATCTAACATTATACCTCAGATTTTGCAGATACGAAACTGGAAATCTAAGCATGGAGCATTTAACAGATAATGGTGTGTGTGTGTGTGTGTGTGTGTGTGTGTGTGTGTGTGTGTGTGTTATTTCTTATAAAAGATCATATTACTCATAAAATTATACTTTGTATCTATTTTAAACTTAATAGACCAAACCTTTTAAACATTTTTTCATTGTTTTAGTATTTTGAAAACTTTTTCATGTCCTTCAAATAGTGAATAGTTCTGAGTACTGTTAAATTGCTTCCACCAAGCTATTTCAGACTAGAATCAGTATCTTAGCCAGGCCACAGTGGCTATTAGTTTATCTCTCTTGACTTCGTTACTTATTTTAGTATAGGAAGAGATAAACACCAAATCTGGAATGCCTGTGTAAAATCTATACTTTTCTGCATTGCACATTGTTTTCATTGTGTTAGCACAAGCACACCATTGGTTTTAATGTCTGTGTGTACACTTTGCTGAAATACTTGATAGAGAGGACAAGATGAATAAAAATTTCCAGGGGAGTGGGACTCATGAAATCTCGATATTATCATTGCTGAATCAAGACTTGAACAGTGACAAAACGAGTTGACAGACTACATGCATAGTGAAAAACTCACAGGGAACCAACCCTAAACAAAGCACTAGAGACACTTAAAATATGCTAAAGGAAGGGCAATTAATCTTTCCTAGATATAAGTTCTAAATTTGTTACCAAATACCAAATGGTCAGTCCTAAAAACCCATACAATGAATTGTATTTATTCATTTGTGTGTATATGTATACAAACATATATATATATGTATATATATAAAGAATAAGAAGCTATGAATTTAAAAAGGATTGGGTGGGGGTACTTGAGAGGGTTTGGAAAGAGAAACGGGAGGGAAGAAGTGATGTAGCTATATTTTAATTAAAAATAATTCTACTTGATAGTTCCATTATTAAAAAATTTAATTTAGTTAGGTTTGCCTGTATTTTGGGGGAATGGAAGAAGGCAGAGTTTATGAAGAAAAGAAAACTCTACATTGATATTCACATATCTTTTCATATAGTGTATATGTAGTAGAGAAGTTAGATATGAACTCCCCTTTTTAGCTCTGATTTTCAGGAATTTGTTTCATCTAGTATTACCCACAAAGCAAATGAATCTGAGTTGAAGAACTTCAGATATCTTAGCATCAACTGCCATCTGTATTTCTATTATTATATCCATTTCTCTCTCTCTCTCTTTCTGTGTGTGTGTGTGTGTGTGTGTGTGTGTGTGTGTGTGTGTGTGTGTGTGTGTGTGTATTTGGGGGCAGGAGCATGTATGTATATGTGGAGATCCAAGGAAAGCTTGTGAAGGTTGGTTCTCTCCGGGGCATGGACCTCAGCTCGACTTGCTTTGTAGTAAGAGCCATTAGTTACTGAACTCCCTCACTGACCCTGCCTGCACCCTTTGTGTATCATGAGACTTTGACCTAACTCTGCCACATTACAATATAATAAGTAATGTATGCATCTAGATAATCTGAAAGTCAGTCTCTACTTTTTTAATTTAGAATTTT